CTTCAAGTTTCAAAGTTAAAGGATAGAAAGGCAAGATTTCAAAGCCAAAAATTGCTCTCTAAGAGTTAATACAAGTGCTATGGACATTAAATAATCAAATAGATAAGTACTTATAAGAGGGACCTCATTAAATGCTTTTTGAGCATGATTTTATAGCATAAATAAGATGAAGATATTCTAATTGTTTCTTCCAATGTTGAAGGCTTGATCTACATTGGAAGTAATACAAAAATGTTTGGAGAGTTCAAGAACTCAATTACTAAAGAGTTTGATATGACCAATATTTGGCTCATAGAATACTACTCGAACTTTGAAATCAATTAAATGAAAGATAACATATTCATTTCATGAAATATTATGTAAGAGAGATATCAAAAAAGTTCATGATGGAGGATAACTGGCCCTTAATTACACTTAAAAAATTTTAATCCAATCTACTAAAGCACAATGAAAAAGAAAGTATTGATCCATTGCTTTTTAAGAGTTTAATTGGAACATGTACTATTAGGCATGCATAAGTTAGATTTATGTTATATTAAACTTGTCAGTCATTATATAAAAACATCAACCATCACCCTCTTGAAGGCTACTAAGAGAATTTTGCAATATATTGACGATAAAATTGACTTTGGCTTGGTCTATTCATCATATAATGATTTTAAACTTGTAGGTTATATCAATAGTGACTGAGCTAGAGATATGGATGATCGAAAGAATATTTTATTAAGTTCGTGTTCTTCATGAGAGACGTTGTTATCACTTGGATGTTAAAAAATAATTCATTATCAGTTTTTCTATTTGTAAAATGGAGTACGGGGCAACATCTTTGTGTGTTTTTCATACCATTTTGCTTCAAAGATTATTAAAGGAATTAAGTTTATCATAAGAAGAAGTAACTAATATTGAAATTTGTAATATGTTTGCAATGACATTAGCTAAGAATCCAATTTTTTATGAAAGAAGAAAGAACGTTGTTAAGATGTATCACTACAAAGAGAATAAATTATATTCCAAGTAGAGTATATGAAGTCTCATGACCAAGTTGTTGATATTTTCATCAAGCAACTCAAATGTAAAAATTTTGTTTAGATACAAAGTTTTTTAGTTTCTAAATCAGTCTTAAGTGTGGTTATTGAAAACCAAGCATAGTTTAGGTTCATAATTACTTGGACTAGTTGTTTAAAATAGAATCTAAATAAAAAGTAATAATTTATAATTACATTTCAAGACTTTAGAAATATATTCTTGAATATCCTTTAGAAAAATGAAAATATTAATTAAATATTTTTAAAATTAATTATAGAGGAAAATTCTAAAGATTTCATTATATCTATGGATTAAAATATGGTGACAGTATCCTAAGAAAATTGCACTAATTTAAATAATTGTGAAGACTTTGATTTTATATCATTCAAAGTGATAAATTACATATGCAGTCTCATCCACTCAAACAAAATTTCTTTAGCTCGTTAGCCTTTGCCTCACCTCAAAGAATTCTTATTCCAACTCACTGATAATTAAAATCATGATTTACAACATAAAGAAATTTGTTAAATTTAAACATTTTGTTGAAGGTTTTAGAAATTCAATTTTTTTTTTTTGATAAAAAAAACATAATAATGTATAAAACAAAGTTTTAAGTTTCATAAATTTGCAAATGAAAATCAATCATAAATTGTAAGAGAGAGCCTTGAAAAGCATAACAAAGTTGAATTTATGAATTGATAAACATAGCTCTCCTCACCACTTCTTGTTCATCTCCTGCAATTCTAGCTCCACATTTGTCTTTTACTCCATATCCATAATTTTGTGTCAATTAAATCTCACAATCTCATTACTTTTTTTTTTAACCAGAAAGCATTGCCAATAGCTTTTATAGTGGATTTCGAATTTTTTTGTCCTTCAATGTATTTGAAATTACTTTGGTAGAGAAGTAAGGACGGTGAGAGTATATAAGGGGAAGTTGTGAGGAATTTAACTATTTTAATTAGCTACCATGTTCATGTTGACCTCATTTGTTGTCAACACACTTCTTTTGGCCCTTGGACAGTTCCTTTCCTTTCCTTAAGTTTCTCCATAGTGCTCCAAGATGGTTGAACATGGCATGGCATGGTTGGTCTAGTTAGCTAGTCCTAATATAGGTGGCCAATCATGAACCTGCAATCCTAAGTCAGCCCCACTGTATCATGACATACTTTATGAAATTAAGAGTTTGGTGGTCAAGACACTTTGGATTTCGGGGAACCCTAGCTTGGCTTGAAAGTAGTTTGATTTAGTGCATGGGTGGCGTAATAGGTTTGTCCTTGGCATAAATCAAAATGAAAGATAAAATTAATTTAAATTCAAAACAAACTTGATTAAATCTAAATTTAAACATAAATCTTAACTAAGTTTAAGTTAATTTAAAATGAACTCAAATTAAAATTAAAATAAAATTGAATATAAATCTAAAACTAAATGTAATTGAGCCTAAAACTCAGTTCAAAATCCTTAATTAAATATTAAACATAAACTTTATCTAATTATAAACTAAAGCTAAACCTCAATTCATCGAACGAAAACATGAAATTAAATCAACTTAAAAACAATATAAATCTATACATAACCTAACATTAAAAACAACCCAATTTAAAACTTAAATTCAATGCAATTCAACATAAACCTAAATCCAAACTTAAATAAAATAAATATAACTATTCTTCATAATAACTTGAACTAAAGCCTAAACAAACGTAAAACTAAAACAAAACTTAAATCCAAACCAACTTAAATTTCTAAATAAATCTTAATTAAACATAAGATTTAAACTAAGGGCCAAAACTAATCAAACTTAAAGCAACAACTCAACTCAACTTAAAATGATCTAAACGTAAGTAAGCTTGAAAATTTTTAATTTAAAACTTGAGTCAATCAAAAATAAATTTAATTGAGCTTCACAACCATATGAATTCAAATATAAATACATTTTAAGTTATTCATAAAATTTAATTGAACCTAAAGTAAATCAAAACAATGGTAAAGCTAAAACCAAAACTAACTATAATAGAAACTATCCACCCTATAAGTAAATCCAAGTTAAAATAGAATTCATGTTAACCTAACATTAAACTAAACATAAACTAAAACCAATCAAATTAATTGTAATCTTGGTTAAACCTTAAGTAAAGCTAAATTACATCTTAATCAAACTAAATCAAATCAAAATAAAGCATGGCAAAGCCTAATTTAACTCACATTGCCTGATCTCCCAAATGGCTATCAACTTAAAACCACTTATTATAGGCTAGGTGCATCTGAATTCATCTGATTTGGCTAACACAAGCCTTATTTATCCATGAAGCACAAAATCAAGCACATGTCCCCTCCTTTGGCTAGACAAGGCATTCACCCTTCAAGTTAACCCACCAAACATCACCATTGGATGAGGAGAGCTCTCTGGGATCGAACCAAATGAGTTTCTTGGCAAAAGAAATTTTTGGGTTAGTTTGGTGTGTCTTGTCGTATCCACCACAAGTATTGGAAGATTTCCACCAAAATGATATGATACATCATTTGAAGAATAATATACTAAGATAAAAATTTAATTTTAAAATATATATATAATCATTTTGATAAGAAAAATCTTTAAGATGCTTAGGTCAATGTAACATATGATTTTTTTCTCTAGCTTACTAGTATAAGATATGATTTATTTTATTCTGAGATATGGTATCACTACAAAGATAAACTTTGTAGTTATTTCAATGTCAAGAATTGTGGACTCCCAAGAATACTTTTAATTTAAATATTGACTCATATTATGCATGATTACAATGCCGATATTTGTTTCCGTTCATTTTTCTCTTTTTTATTTTAAAAGAAGTCGTCAGCTTGTCGATCATTGCATACTTCCCTCATTCGAATAAATCTTTATCCCAAATCAAATCAGTGATTCGAAGAGGAGATTAACTGAATAAGAAGGGACGTAAAACAAAATGACAAACAAGAGAAAAACATAACGTGGAGAGACCACGTGCGATAAAACTCGTAAAGATAGGTCAAGAATGTCCGCCCAAACAAGATCGGGCAGATGCACCTTGAACCAACATCCGTGAAAAAAGTATCTACGTAGACTATATATAACCAGAGAGACATGTGTATGTACCTGGTTTGGTGTCAAGGGCACTTCCAGAGGATTGTATTCCTATAGTTAATTATATATTGAGGGATACCCAAAAATACTCTCGATAAAAAGAGTTTCGTTTTATATTATCATAGACCTAGGGTATACTCGATCAAAGGAAGGTTATTTCGTGTAGGAATGTCCCGATGCTTCATAGCTCAAGGTAAGCCATCGGGCAGAGACTGAGTCTCTCACATCTCAAACGTGTAGTGACTCATCGGCATACAGAGCCCACGAAATAACCATAAATCATCTTGACGATGATATCTCAACACATCAAAGAAATTCTGGGTCATAAGGGCAGATGACAAATCATCGTATCCCAAACGAGGGATAGCTCATCGGCATCGGGTCATCAAGATGATATCGATGAAGTCAAAGGAGCGACAGGGCTCAAAAGGGCTCAACAACATGAAGCTAGAACAATTCTATAAAGTAGAGGTAACTGGGTCAGGGTATCACAAACTCATCATATACAACTACTATGACCCTAAATCTACCTTGTCGTGAATGTAATCGACCCAACACATCCTGAGATCCTCGGTCAGCAATCTGTGAATTGCGTCATCAACCAGAACCTCGATAGCCACTATCAAATTATTGAGGATTTGATAAATAAAATGAAAAACTTTGAGTTTAGCTTTTACCATGACTTTTGATATTCGAGTGAGAATGTGCATTGGATAAAAGATGGTTGAGTTGTAAATAATAAGTTTCGGATGATATGTATATTATATCATATAAATCAGTAAATTGTTAAAAATGATTTTTTTTATTTGGATAAATTGAGCCATCGAATCCCACATTTATAAAATTTTAATTTTAAGTTTTCTTTTTCAATTAAGATCTAGCCCAAAAACAGTAGTCATGAAGGGCTCATCTTCCCAACTCAGACGCGAAGCGCCCACTCCTTCTCCATCGCAGTCCCGTCAACCAGATCAACTGCACCTTCACTTCTGCAGCCGCCGGCAACAATGGAGGACGGCGAAGGTAGCAAAGAAGGAGCAGGAGAACACGAGGTCAACCCCCACGACACCGCAAAGCCATCTATTTCACCTCCCTCAGCCGCTTTGCCTCATCTTGTTGTGCCCACCAGGCCTTCTCCGATTGCGAAAAAAGGTACCGATCGTCGGAAGAAAATTTCTTTGAGCGCGAAGCAGAGAAAGTTGGCGGAAGGGAGGCTCGTACTCCTCAACAAGAACTTCCGCCCAATCCCTTTTTCCCCGGCGAAAACCCTAGATTTCTCCGCGCACGAGCAGCTCTTCCGTGAGCTCGGTCTCTGGGACTTTGCACACCTACAGTTCGATGAAGAGGTGCGGCCAGACCTCCTTGCCGATCTGATCGCTTATTATGATTCCTCCAATCATCGGAGCTATGTGCGTAACACTCGGATTTCTGTAACTCGGGTCCATCTTGCTCGAGCTGTCGGGCTGCCGACTAAGAAAGAGAAACGCGATGCTTTTGATGGAAGGGATAGGGTCCAAGAACTAGTTTCTGTAGATGGGGCTACCAAAGCCCTCTTGGATTTCATTTCTAGCTACATGCTTTTTGATGAAATGTGCATACTGCCTGAGGAAATCATTCAGGCTACTAAACTTGTGAAGGAGGGGGTTCCCTACAAGGTGGATTGGGCAGCAATTATGTGGGTTTTGGTTGAGAAGGAGCTATCAGAGGGCCACGAATCCGGAACTTTTTGCTATGCATCTCATCTGCAGCAGTTGATTAAGCACCAACGTCCTCAACTTTTCTTAAAAGAACCAGAGCCTGTGTTTGCTGTGGCTGAGCCTGAGGAAGTGGAAGACATTTCGGTGGCAGATGAGGCGGTTAATATGGCAGAAGATGATGTTAATGCTGCAGAAGTCCATTTGACAGAAGAAGAGGGTGATGCTGATATCAGAAAGATGCGGAGCTTGCAGGACATGATGAATGTGGCTTCTGAGGGGCATGATTGTGAGTTTGGTTTGACGTTGGGTGATGATGTGATGGATGATTTTGATGATTGTAAAATGAATGCAGAGAGCGAGTGGCTTGAAGGAGAGAAGAATGAAGGCTTTAAGCAATGCCTGAGGCGCTGTAATTCTAAAGCTTCTGAAAACTTGGAATTTGAGAATTTGGCAGAGATGGGTGAGGAGAAAAATATACAAGAGAGGTCTACCGCTGCTGTCTCGGTTAAAGTTTCTAATTTTGAGAGGTTGAATTCATCAGACCTTATGCAGGAATTGAGCAATGTGGGCATTCCTTATGCTGCACAGGTGAATACGCTCAACCCATCTTATAAGAACATTATTATGGATAGTGGTTTGGGTGGTTCTAACTGTTTTGGCTATAGTGAAAGGAGGCAAATTGATGAGATTGGGGATGAGGAGAGAGACCAATTTGACCATAAATGTAGGCAAAAAAGGTTGCGGGCTTATGAACCTTGGGGAAACCTGCCATTTTCTTTTGATGACTGCATGAATATGATTCAAGTTGGTGCAAAGAAGGCCAAAGCACTCTATAGTGAGAAATACCAAGAACTTTCAAAGATGGAAGACCATATACAGTATCTGAATCATTTGGTTCATGAGAAAGAGCTGGCTATTCGGTCATTAAAAGAGTTGGAAGAGCAACGAAATTGGCAGATGGATGTTCAGCAGTATGAGCGTGAACTATGCTTGGTGACCCAATTGATGCTTGGTTATAAGACTGCTTTAAAAGAAACTCGGGGTAGATTTGCGGACTATAGAAAGCAGCACCCATGTGATGTGGATCCTCTTTACAAGGATGTTCCTGGGACAGGTGGACTGGTTCTTAGTGCGAGGGAGTTTGAAAAGGTTCAGTTGGTCAAAGAGGAAGAGAAGCGACAGCAGTTGTTATGTGCTTTCAGAAATCTTGAGCAAATCTTAAGTAAATTTGAGAAATGTGAAGAGAGGGTCACATTGCATGATGTTAAGCTCGGGAAGTTGGTTGGAGAAATGCGGAATCTGAAAGATGGTTTTGTAAAATCTGGTTGCTTGGATGTGTAACAACACCTTATTTCAGCGGATTTGCTGCCCTTCTGACTAGTTATTTAAGAAATGTGAAGACTGCATCATTTTGGGTGATTGGAAAGTTATGAAGCCGTTTGATATGATAACTGGAAATGGAGGTTTGTGTGGCTGTTTCTTGGATGATTACCTTTTGAACTAGTTTTGCGCGCTTAACTTGGATACTTGATTATTAACTTAGGATATAACACTGATGAATGAAATTAGATTTAAAATCCCCTTTTTGAACTGCCTATGTTATTTGCATACATCTGTTGTTTTCACTCATGTCATGTACCATTGATGATTGTTTTGTATTGTTAAAATGTTTTAAGATCGCAGGATCTTTTTATTTTAAACTGATGAAATAGCTAACAGCTCAACATGATTAATTGTGTTTCTTTTGAAAGCATTTTGGCTTCATAGGTGGTTCCCCATCCGTAACATCAACTCCTCCAATGGTGGTTTCTTTTCCGTAAACTATGAATTCGAGGTGAATCCATAGGCTAGGTCTGTCTCGAATTACTACTGCATACTGGGTTTTCTTAGGTATTCCCCCATTACGGGTTTCCTACCCCTATGTTGTTATTGCTCTAATTAAAATTTTAGTATTTTCCCAGTATGATTTGTAGGTATTGGAATAAGGATTTTTGAATTAGTTTCCTATGAAATTCACAGTTTTTAATGTAATGGTGCTTGAATCTTCTATTGGTTCATAAATCATCCCATCTCTTGGTAAAGATCCTGTCACATAATTCAAAGTAAAATTATATAAATTCCTAAAGATGGTGGCATCTTGTGAGGATGGAATAATCAAAACATCAGTCTTGTACACACTAGTTACTTTCTTAAGGGTAACTCTATCAGACGACGATTAAAAGTTATTTATTGTCATTTCCTCAATCAGTGGAAAGCTTCATCAGAGGATTTTGACGTTAAGAACCTCTTAGTTGCAGTGTCTATAATCAACCTTGTGGATCCTACCAACTCATTATAAAATGTTTTGATTATCAGCCAGTCAGGTAGGGCGTGGAGCGGAAATTTCTTAAGAAATTCTCTAAATCTCTTCAAGGTTTCATAAATTAATTCTCCATCCAACTCGGTGTAAGTGGTGAAATCATTCCTAAGCTAGGCAGTTTTAGATGGAGGAAATTATTTGGCTAGGAACTTCTGGCCTAAGTCATTTTAAGTCGTGATCGAACAAGGTCAGCCAAATCTTAGTTTTTTCCGTAAGTGAGAGAGGAAAAAATCTTAGTCTAATGACGTCACTAGGCACATTGTTATACTTGAAGTTGACTAAAAGTTATAAGAAATTTGCTAAGCGCGGTTCTGGATTTTCAATATGTGCTCCCGCAAACAGGTTGTTCTGGACCATTTGGATTATGGCGGATCTAAGCTCAAATGTATTAGCTTCTGTGGTAAGTAATGGATGCTCATGCGAGTTCCCTCTATCGATGGGTTGACATACTCCCTAAGGGGTTTCAAATGATTTTGCTGAGGGTTAGCCATTTCTAAATGTTTTTTTTTTTTATGTTTTTTTTTTTTTAAGTTTTTGGATTTTCTTGAATTTTTTTATGTTTTTTTTAATTATTTTAGGGTCAAAAGACACTAGTTCAGCTAAACACCTCCTATGCATGCACTCCATGCTTGCACAAGTGACTCTAATCTAAAGCAAAAAAAACACAAATACAAAAAGATAAAATAATGACAACACCCATTCTAATTAAATTTAGGTGAAAATATAGTACCAAAAACTCTTTTCCTGACAATCATTGAATCAGTTTTTAATGGCGTTTTACAAGCTTTAATTAACTGTTTATATATTAAATTCATCTCGAAATAAATTTATCATTTTAACACCCATTCTAATTAAATTTGATTAAAATCCCCCAATCTACAAAGGCTTATTACATAATTATGTGGAATTCTCTTATATTAAGCGTTGATGTTTCTCTAACATCGTAATATTTGAACAATAACAGCCTTAATTCTAATGGAATTAATTAGCCAACGCTCCTGCTTTTAAATGATAATATAAGATAAATGTTTTTCATGAAGCGACCATTACATGTAGTTTTGTTAATGATCTGGTTTCGAGCTGAGCTACAGTCAACATGAAATTCGCACGAATGGATTTAGTGCGGCTAATTCAATTTCGAGCTGACCTGGTTCCAAATTGAATCGAGCTCGATCCGACTTTGAGCGGACAGAACGAAGGGAACGAGATAGTGGAATGAATGGGGTGAGATTTTAGCTCTCAAATGCTTAACATCTTCATTATTTACTTTTTCGAAAGTGAAATTCACCTTTTTGATGCACAAGTCTACGCAAGAAAGTGTTCTAAAAACAAAAGGGAATATTCACGGGGGTAGAAAAGTAAATACATAAGAAATGTGCGGTCTTTATGTAAGCTTCCCAGAAATTTTTCAAACCTTTCGGAGCAGAGCTTTAAGCTGAGGCTGAAGGCTGGTAAGGCTTGTTGCCATCTGGACAATATATGATAGTTCACCATTCATGACCTTGAAGACCGTAATAGAGGTGTAAACTTTAGAATGGGGACTCTCTTTTTGAGGCGTAATTATTTCATACGGACACCGTATGGTGTATGCAGAAATGCATACGGTGTCTGATCTCCACCCTCCACCGTCCATCAAATTTTATTTAAAAAAAAAAAAAAATTCAAAATAGGATCCACTGTTATACATCTTTGCTGTAATGAATGGTGGAGATCAAACACCGTATGCATTTTTGCATGCGGTGTCAGTATAAAATAATTATTCTTTTTTTTTAGAGGAGAGAAATCTCTTCTCTCAAATAGAGAATCTCCCCCCTTCTTTATAGGACGTCTCTCCTACCCGCTTTCTCTTTTTATCCCGTTCATTTTATCAATGTTAGTAAGATTTGAACATATAATTGACAAATAAATCATGATTCAACAGCGTGGATATATGTCTCAATTTTGAATTTACACATTTATATTAATGGAGGTACAACTAAGATTTTGCTAGAGAAAACTGCACTAGGAGGGATCTCATTGGAGGACAAGGAAGTGTGAAGTCCAACAACTTGGAGTGATGATAACATCAAGATAAACTACTCTTAAGTCTTCCCTTTATTAGTATGCCTAACTTTTATCCTCGTAATAGTTAACATTCATCGAATTGGAGTATGACTCAGAGGAACTTATTAAATCTTATTTCTTCTGATTATTATTAGTAAAGATGGAAAAAAAAGGTTATTAAATTTTATTTATTTTTAATATGCTTAATAAAAAGGAAAAGTATGATGAACTCGGCCTTCAAAAAGAAAATATCACAAAAACTACTTTTATCATGGATTAATTTGCCCATGAGAATCCTAGGAGCTATATATAACACAATACTTCTTGATGACGAGATTAACTTGCCTATGAGAGCTCATGTAGGTTGATCATATAGTTAGTCCGACAACAGAGAATTGAACTCATTCTATAAAGACAAGGTATAACCCTCACTATTAAGAATTTCATTGAAATTTTATCATTATATTATTTTATTCATGATCACCTTCTAATATTACAAGAGAATTGAGGAACTAAACATATACCCCTTAAGATGGTTTGTCATATTACACTCTAAAGTTGCCCCTGTTGAGCTACTAGGCCGCCCTACCAACCTACCAAATTGCACTATCAAGTTGCCTTACAATTCTATAAATTTAAAATCAATCTAATTTACAATTCTATCAAGTTGCCTTGCAAAATTTTAAATTTAAATAAATTATTTCAATTTACATATATACATATATATATATATAGAAATTAACTTAAATGAGAGCTAAAATTTTAAGTTACTCTTACTAAGAAATTTTACCCTATTTTCTTTAAATATTTTATATAACCAAGGATGTTTTAAATATTTTATTTAATTTTTAAGAAAATTATATTAAAAAAATAATATTTTGTATTTCTTCATTAAAAAAATCCATAAATGGTACCTACATCTCAAGGGTTTTGCCCTTTCACTCCATAAATTATAACACATAAGTACAATTGTCATTTTTTTAAAAAAAAATTAATCAAAATTTAAAATAATCTAATTTTAAATTTTTGACTATCTAAACTTATATATATATATATATATGCATCTCATC